TTCGTCCTTTGGCAAGTTGGCATTTCCTGCATTGCTTTATTATACGAGAAACATCATTCTTCAAACTAGGCCAATAAAGCCTATCATCCACCACAGCAATGGTCTTATCTCTACCAAAATGGCCTGCTACACCTCCAGCATGTAACTCCCAAATAACAAAGTCCTATAAAGAGGTATTTGGTAGACATAAGCGGGTATCATAAAACAGATAACCATTATATAGTGAAAACAAAGGATACTCATCTTGCTTCCTAACTTTTAAGTCAATATAGATGATGCTGAAATCCTTACAGCCAGTCTTGCTTTAGTTGATCAAAACCAACGACTTGGACATTCATGGAATGAAGCATGTAAGCCATCCGACTTAGCGCATCTGTCACTTTATTTCCACTTCCAGCCTGGTGCTTAAGAACAAAGGTGTATTCTTGTAGGAATGAAACTCACTTCCCATGCCTATAGTTTAGTTTCTTTTGGGAATTCAAGTACTTTAAATCTTCATGATCGGAATAGACCACAAACTCCTTGGATATTAAGTAGTGTCGCCAATGTTGTAGAACTTGCACTATTGCATATAACTCCTTGTTGTAAGTTGAATATTTCTGCTTGGCTTCATTTAGTTTATCACTATGAAATGCAATGAGATGGCCTTCTTGCATGAGAACCCCTCCAATTCCTACTCCAGATGCATCACATGCCACTTCAAAGACTTTAGAGAAGTTTGGAAGTTGTAAAATATGTGCCTCTGTCATTTTCTTCTTGATAGTCTCAAATGCTTTTGTTGCTACCTTGGTCCAATTAAATTCACCTCTTTTCATTGCATCAGTAATTGGAGCCATGATAGTGCTGAACCCCTTAATAAATCTTCTATAAAAAGTTGCTAAGCTGTAGAAGCTTCTAACCTCCTGAATCTTTAACAATCCAAAAAATTATCAGCCAAATCCGAAAATCTGATTTGCTCAAATTCTGGTAGAGTAGTGACCCAACTTGTGACAAGTTTGCCAACTGAAGCCACAACCTCTTCAGTCCTTTCCTTTCCTTCAAACAGCCTCCTGTTTCTTTCGCCCCACAAAGACCAACATACTACAAAGGGGATACAGCTCCAGACAATCTTAGCTCTCAGACTTCCTCTGAACTTTGGCCATGAAGAAAAGATCTCTGCTGGAGAAGATGGTTGGAAGATAGGCATCCCAAAGAGGAAACAGTAGAAACTCCAGATGCAGTTTGCCAAGTGGCAAGAGAAGAGCAAGTTGTGTACAGTTTCTTTATCTGACTTGCACATATAGCAGTAGCTCACCAAGCAAAACCCCCTACTTTTCAAATGATCTGTTGTGAGAATGCTATCCATTGCAGCCAGCCACACAAAGGCTTCAATTCTTGGAGGAACTGGATTACCCCAAATTCCATGCACCTGATCATTAGTTACACTATCCTTGATGAGAGTCAAGTAGAAAGATTTCACTAGAAATCTTCCATCCCTGCTCTCCTTCTACCACAGTCCATCTTCACAATGAGAGGAAATTCTGGTCTGCTCCGGGCCTCCAGCCTATCCAGCAATAGAACACATTCCTCCAGTTCTTGGTCGTGCAAAGGTCTTCTGATCTTAGGACTCCAAACCACCTTATCATCACTGACTTCATGGCATTGGGCCACAGAGACCTGATGTTCAGTCAGCCTGTACAGCCTTGGGCAAACATCGCAAAATTTCCCAACCCCACTCCAATCATCCTCCAAAAAATCTCACTCTAGATCCAGCTCCTACATTGAAGCTAACCAGGCGACTAAAGTCCTGGTTAAAGCTCATTATGCCCTTCCACACTACTACCACATAAGAGTTAGAAACCTCCCTTGGCTCCCATCCAAATCTCACCACTCCATACTTCCCTGCCACCACTCTTCTCCATAATGAGTCCCTTTCCTTATCCAACCCAAGCCTCCATAACCACTTCCCCAAAAGAGCTTTATTGAGTAATTTTATTCTTCTTAAACCCAAACCCCCTAAAGCTTTCGGCCTACAAACTTTCTCCCACCTTACTAGGTAAAGCTTCCTTGGACCTTTTGCCACATCCCAAAGGAAGTCCTTTTGAATCTTTTCTATCTTATCAGCAACTGAAGTTGGTATTTTCAGCAGTGATAGGTAATAGGTATGTAGGCTTTGAAGCACACTCCTTATTAGGGTAATTCTGCCCCCCAAAGAGAGATACCTTGCCTTCCGGCTTTCCAACCTATCCATTCTCTCTATAAGAGGTTTCCAGGTACTTACAGATCCAAACTAAGCACCAACTGGGAGTCCTAAGTACAAAAAAGGAAGTTCCCCAGTTCTGCACCCAAGGACTGCCGCAAACCCTGACAACTCTTCTTGGCTGATCTCTCCAACAGCAATCAAAACACTCTTCTCCAAGTTCACCTTCAGACCTGTTAGCATCTCAAAATTTGCTAACACTGCCCTTAGATTTAGGACTTGATCTTCCACAACATCTAAAAAGATGAGGGTATCATCTGCGAATTGCAAATTTGAGATGCAAGGGCCCTCAGCTCCTACACTGGAACCTCCTAACCATCCTCCCTAGACACCCTTCTTCATTAACAGATTTAAAGCTTCCATCACTAAAACAAACAATAAAGGAGATAGGGGATCCCCTTGTCTCAGCCCCCTAGAAATTTTAAAAGGACTCTGAGGAGATCCCGTTAAGGATCATTGAGAGAGAGACTGAAGAAATACAGCCATACATCCAGCCCCTCAATTTTTCTCCAAACCCCATTAGCCTATGAATCTCCTCTAAAAATCCCCATTCCACATGATCGTATGCTTTCTCTATGTCTAGTTTGCACACTAATCCAGGTCTTCCACTTCTAAGTCTTGAGTCTATACATTCACTTGCCACCATCACCCCATCTAGAATTTGTCTTCCCGACACAAAAGCCATTTGTGTCTCCCCCACTACTTCATAGAGTACTTTCTTTAGTCTCATTAATAGAACTTTTGCCAAAAGCTTGTAGGGACTGCATAATAAGCTTATTGGCCTGAAGTCCATTATGTTTGTAGCCCCCATTTTCTTTTGTATTAGTGAAATAAAGGTTGCATTTGCTCTCTTGTCCACTGTTTTGCTCTAACAAACCTCATTGATCATCTGCATAATATCATTCTCCAAGAAGTGTCAGCATTGTTTAAAGAAGTTGAAATTGAAGCCATCAAGCCCCGGAGCTTTGTCTCCATTTATCCTCTTTAAGGCCTCCCTAACTTCTCCTACTTCAATCTCCCTCTCCAACCACCCAACTGCCCTTTCACTCAACTTACTTGATTCTACTTCCCCCAAGGATATCCAACACCATTGCCTCCCTGAGTACAGATTTCTATAGAACTCCACCACTAGCCTTTGGATACTTTCCCAGTCTTCAGCCTCTTCCTCCCCTACCTGATTTCTTGAAATCAGATTTCTTCTCTTCCTTCCACATGCAAAGGCATGAAAGAAGGCAGTATTTTTATCACCCTCTTTCAACCACAGAGCCCTTGATTTCTGCCTCCAACTCACCCTTCTCTCAACAGAAACCTCTCTAGCTCCCTTCCCAACCCTTCTTTTTTCCAATCTAGCTTCTTTAGGAAATACCTCTCTCTCCTCCTCTAACCTGTCCAGTCTTGCAATCTTCTCCAACACATCTTTTTTTATTCCTCGTTCCAAAACTCTTCCTGTCTTCTCCCTCTCAACTCTTCCTTAAGACATTATAGCTTCCTCATGATTCTGACACCAGCTGGCCCCTCAACCTGAAAATATCTCCATTTTTCTTCTGCCCACTCTACATAGTTAGATTGAAGCAGCCATACATTTTCAAACCTGAATGGCTTCGGGCCTGAAATCTCTACAAATTCTCTTAATACAATTGGTTTATGGTCTGATACAAATATTGGTAGAGGTTCCTGAACCAGAATCCCCATCTGATCCATCCAATCCCTCGATAACAGAAATCTGTCCAGCTGTCTAATGATAGCTGGACATTGGCCGTTTGAACAAGTTGATGCATCTCAGAATTCAAAGTAGTGGACTCTGATATCTATAACAAAGATCTAGAAGTGGAAGCTGTCTCAACCTAGTCATGTCTTCCATGATCATCAGATGCAGCCAAAGATGCCTTATAAGGCCTCCACCAATCCATCCTGGATGGCTTGACCTTGCACTCATCGACTATATGACCCAGCTGCTTGCAGTATACATGAAATTGAACTTCTCTTAATTGTGTAAAAGAGTCTTTCTTCTAGAGGTAATGTAATCATGCATACTATGAAGCCAAAAAAAAGGTCTTGTGATATTAATATTGAAGTTGCTAGTAATCAGTTCTCTCTTGGAATTTTGAAGAATGGGGATATGCATCTCCATAATTGTTTGTATACTAAAGGAAATCAAAATAGACAGGGACTGCATCTGAACTCTTATGATGCAAATCTAAGAGGAAGAAGGATGAATAGATAGTGACTGTGTCTCATTAAGTTAAATCAAAATACAATGAGAGAAGGATGAGAAGTCTAAACTCTATAGTTGCTTGGAACCATGGAATTATGAAGCATATAATTGATCACAGTATTGAGGCATACGTTAGGTTTCATTTTTTTTACAGAGCAACATATGTTGGGGGGACTTTGATGGGGATAGAGATTGGAATAAGCTCACCTTTACAAAAAGGAAGGTAAGATTCAAAAGGACACTAAAATGAGTAGCACTGAAACATGTGAATGATGCAGTGAGGCCCTACTGACTCCCAGCTTATTATACCAAAAGTTTCATGTATGCATCTTCCCCTCTGCATTAAATTTTATGTGTAACCTTTTGCTCAAAGTGTGACCTGACTGGTGATTTTACAAATTGGTTATCTATCATTTTCTTTTCTCAAATATTAGAGAGTGGACATATTTTCTTACTTATCCTCACATCAAGTCAAAGAACAAGATCTTTAAAATCAAGGTCAATCCAGATGTTCTATTTTACCTCAAGATAAAGTTCTAGGCATACCTCAGAACGCAAAGTATGAAAATATCCATTTAGTGCATACTTTGAAGCGGAGTATACAGCCTGACCTGGTGCAGGTGTTTTCCCTGCAGCACTGCTCATCTATTCAAATAATCATATAAATTAGGAACAAAAAGAGAAAGCATTAAAGGAATAGAATGGGAGGACATTTCTATGCAATAGATAGTGCTGTTTACAATGGTCTACTACTGTTTACAATAGAAGTGGAAAGGCTTCAGCTTTTCATGCATAGACTATGAACCAGCACCATCCAATTACAAAGCATGTGTAATATCAACCAAGCTCAAAATCTCAACCTCAACAAAGGAAAAAAAAAACATAATACTGCAGTAATCTCAACAAAGAAAAAAAAAAACAAAATTTCAACCTCAACAAAGCATGGGAGGACATTTTTAGCCAATCAATCAATTTCCTTAAACTGGATACAAAAATACTGCAGTAATCTAGACAAGGGTTTAACTATTCGATGGATACATGATAAGTTCATCCCTTTTTTGGGCTGTTGTCATCCATGTTATAGTTCCACCAATTGTGTTACCCTAATGCAAAATGCTACGCCAGTTCCCAAGACAAAGGTGAGCCCCAGATTTTCACCATAAAATCTAGATTTTGAATGGTTTATGCATAACAACAAATCCAAATAACATGGTTAATAGGTGGCTTTAGCAGTCCTAGGACCCAGCTTGGCATTATCCATTACCAGGTCCATCAATTAGTTTCCCCTGATTGATAAGCACATACATCTGGATAACTATGCAAACCAGCTCCACCATCCACATTGGTTTGCCACCATGTCTGTATAACTCAAGGAAATAAAAATAATAAAAGCATGAAAGTCCAAGAGAAATCATAAGTGCAGTTGAAAAAATAATTGAATTTGTTCCCATATACCACAACAAAATGACCCTTCCCCCGTCTCAACATGGAAGGTGCAAGTAGCCGAGTGAGAGATATCGTCCCAAGAACATTTACGTTGAAGGTTGCCTAGTTACAAAAGAATAAAAGTATTATTCAAAGTAGAACACGATAGTAATATATTGTTATATGATATGAATTCCAGGTCATCCATAGAAACCTGAGATTAAACCATCAGGACAACTCATAGCTCATTAACTTATTAACCTACATGTTATATCAGTAGTTAAACAAGTTCTTGACATACAAACCCAAGTAGCTTTTCTCAAATGATTACCTTAAGACCTTCTTCAGTCACTTCAAGAGCTGAAGTTTTCTGCAATAAGAAAATGTGAAATAGCAAAAGACAGTTAGGGTACTTTATCTGCAGTGTGTGATCTCCACTACTCACTTTTTTTTTAATTTAAGCATATCATCAACTGGGCTCAGTACATTCAGCATGATGTCAAGAAACAAAAGCATTTCTAATAGCATAAGAGTAATACTTTGTCATATTCTTTAAGGCTTACCTGTCAACAAAAGAAACTTTTAAGCCTTAACATGTATTTCATAAGAGGCATAAGTGACAAGATCAATTGAGTATATAACCACTACCCTCTAAAAGGCTATAGGTTGCTATTGTTGAGGACACATCCAGACATGGAGTACAAACATGTGTTGTAAACAAGTTTGGGATAGAATAATTTGTCTGCTTTTACTTCTTAAATGAAAGACTTGCTTAATGCAGTTTATATTGTTCAAGTCCAACCCATTATTTATAAAAACATAAATATGTGCCTGAAGGTGTCTGCATGTGCATGTGTGTGCTTTCATGTGAATAGTTTAGGGGCTTTCCATGTCCAACTCCCTGCTTGGTGCATACGTACATGCCAAAACATAACATGTCTTTAGCTACATATTATTGCTATTAAAACCACCATTGTGATAGTCAAATCTCTGAATCAAATTTTTGGCCAGTGCTAAGAAAATGATTATTGAAAAAAAAAAAACATTGTTCATACACTGTGCAACTTTGCTTTCAGAAAATTATATAAATGAAGAAAATTTAATATAAACTCTTGCTGCCAGAATATCATTCAACTTAACAACTCAACACTACCTACATCCCATTGACCCACCCATCCTACATCACTCACAGCCACCATACTAATTCACCCTTACTATAGTCAGCCAGTTGAAGAAAGGCCAACATAGCTCCATTGGCTAGTTAATGGAACAATTGCAATCTTGAGTATCAGGTATAAACTGACGGTTGATGAAATTATGCATGATAGTATCTGTCTCAGCAGGGCTGTCAACGGACCACATAATGATCCCATCCAAATCTGATTTAATTAAGCTAACAGATTCCAATCTCAAATGGCAGATCTGTTTGCAATCAAAATGGATTTACAATTTTACACCACTATCATCTGATCCAATTAATATCCAATCTGAAGATGATTGGTTCTGTAATATATCAAGGCTGCAGGGATACTCAACCCAGCTTCTGAGGTGTGTTTTGCAATGAAACTGTATCAGGTTACATTAGTTACATTAGGAAGGGTTGGTGACAACACTCATGCAGTGTAAACCTAATTAGATTAGAACTGTTCAAGGTTTCTTAATATTATATATTCCCATCTTTGAGTAAACAAAAAGGTCATTACCCAATGCTAGTCCCAGCTATCTGGGGCCTTGGGAGGGGTAGGCTGGTTATGGTCCTACCCTTTGGCACTATTCACACAGGTGGCCACCCTCAGACTCAAAATGATGTTATCATAGTTGCCAGCCCGAGATTTTTCCAGTATACCAAGTAATGGCCCCGCCCCTATATTTACATTTTTGAATTAATTTCTTAATTACCACTACGCATATTAATTGACTTCATTGGAAAAAATAATGAATTAACAGTTGCTACTTGCTAGCATTTCTACTGCTAAAATCCTCACTTACAGGGCGCTCATAAGCTGCATTGTGGATCATATAATCAACACCAGCACCAGAAAAAAAAGACTCTGCTTTCTGTACAGCTTCCGAAAGAGAATCTTCACCAGATGTAAGATCCAATGGTAAAACCATCACTCCATCAGGTGCATGTTTACCTATAAGCATACAAGACAGTGTATTATTATAAAAAAGATACAGCAAAATAGCAGGCATCGTATGAGATTTCTAGGGGAAGGATGTACCAATAAGTTGACTCTTGACTCTCTCTAACTCAGCTTCATTTCGTGCAGATATTATGAGTTTGGCCCCTAAGCTAGCAAGCTGTTTTGCAAGAATCTCCCCTAACATTCCAACATAAAAGCAAAAAATAAGAAAATGTCATAAACCATCCTAGACACATAACCAAAGGTTATTCTGAAAAGCAACCTAAACTCGTTAGTAGTTACCTGTGCGAATGAAGGGATCAAGGGTTAAAGCAGAGAGATGCCTCAACAAAGAGGATCTAATTTGAAGCTCAAAGTCTCAGTGACAATATTATAAAAATAAGAACTGTCTGACTACTGATATTGATCTTACTGATAAAACATGTAATTTAGATTATAAAATTCCAAGGATTCTTTGTTCACGAAAACTAGATTTCATAATAGGTTATTCTTTTCAAACTTGACAAAGTTTATAATGGGTTATTAATACAGAAAATTCCTCGCTAGCAGCAGTAAGCTTCAGCCAGAAGTATTAAACGAGCAAATAAAGAAGAAAAAATAGGAGGAGAAGAAACAATTATTTTTACTATATGCTGATTATGGCAGAAACAAAAAGAAAGAACTCTTATCCTACAAGACCACTCAACTCTTTTATAGACCAGTAAGTAAATCTGCAATGAACTACTTGCATTCAAACATCAATAAAAATAGGAAGTTCCTATTCAAACTAAGACACCTTTATAACTCTCCAATGACTAATCTATCATGAAACAAAATTGACATATAGTATTTACTGCTTTATGCAACATAGCCAGCAGGGCCAATTGGTCAAACCATTGACTTTGAATTTCCCATAATATGCAGAAACCAAAAGTCAGTCATCTTGAATCCTGAGTTGGGACACTTCCACATATCTGATTGAGCTGAAAATTTACAGTTTTTAAGCAATTATAAGTGTAATTGTCTCCACCACATATCAGTCCAAATCAACCAAAGCTTGATTGATCAAACAATCACTTCTTTTCTGGTTGACTGTATGTTCAGCAGGGCTGCCATCTGACAACTTTTCTTAGATTTCTTTCTCAGAGATTTGCTGAGAGTCTTCTTTTTTTTTATGAATAATAGTAAATTTTATTAATTCAAAAGCTGATTTAGAATTGTGAATTCATACAATATCCTAGGGAGAGGCGCGAGCTGCAGCCCCTCCTTGAATCTTACAACTAAACTAGGAAAGAAATACAGGAATCACAGCTGAGCCCGAAACAATTCTTCCCTATTTACCCCTTGCTTGGCTAACACATCGGACAAAGTATTTGTTGATCTCCCCACCCACTGTAAAGAGACCGACATATTCCTTGTCAACCAACTGAATTTCTTCAATTCATTCTTGTAACGCTATATAGCATCTTCAGAATTTTTCAACCAGCCCACCACCACTTTGGAATCCCCTTCAATTATTAGATGTTGTACCCCCAGCTGGTTTGTAAATTGCACCCCTTGTACAGCAGCTAATAGCTCTGCTCTGATAGAGTCCCCAACTCCTAAAGGACCCAAATAGAGCAACAAAATCTCTCCCTTCTCATTTCTCAAGACACCACCCATTCTGGATAATCCTAGATTACCCATGCTACTTCCATCAAAGTTCAACTTCAGTGAGCCTTCAGATGGAGGAGACCAGCTTGTAATTGACTTGTCCTTTAAAGGTGAACACCTTGTTACTGCTGACCAGTTTCTCCAAAGGTCATTAAAAGAGAATTGATGAAAGATTTCCGAAGTCTTCAGCCAAAGTATTGCCCTATGCAACACACAGTCTTTCAATTCCTGACTACTCCTTTCCTTTTCTTGAAAGATTCTAGCATTCCTTTCTTGCCAAAGAGTCCAAATCAGGGCAGCGCGAGCACATCTCCACATAATTTTCCCTCTTTTTGTAGGCCAAGAGAAAGTAGAATGGTTAAAGATCAAGCGAACTTCTGCTGGTAGACTCCAACTACTCCCAAACAATGAAAGTAGCCAATTCCAAAGGTCTGAAGAAAAAGGACAAGATATTAGTAAATGGTAACAATCCTCCTCGTGAGCTCTACAGAGGATACACCAATTGGGAGAAATACAGAGGAAAGGTCTTCTCTTTTGTAGGTTATCTAGAGTGTTTACTTTCCCATAGAATACTTCCCAACAAAACGCCATATTTGTTGAGAGTCTTCTTCCATCCACTTAAAAGACCATTACCAAATTTTGGCCACAGTTATTTGGGATCTCGGGAGGGGAAGAGTAGATACAGACCTAACCTTTGGCATTTATTTTTCACGAATTGAGTGCTTCGGACTCGTGCCCACATTCTCAAACTTATCAGCCAGAGACTTTACCATGCAACAAGCAATGGCCCCCCTCTTCTAACCACTTGCATTAGTTATTTCTTTGCTGATTTTGGTAAGGTATAACAGTTTGTTTATTTCAATTTTCAAATAGAAAATACCAACATTAACATTTAAGAGAAGCTTATAAATTCTAGCCTTCCAAATATTTGGAGAAGAAAATTGAGAAAAAAAAGTATGTTGTCAAAATCTTACAATTTACGATACAATTCACGGTTTGAATCATGGATCCCAAGGGTTTTGATTCGAATCTTATGATTTTTACGATTCAAATAAATTCAATTAAGAATTAGTTCTACTTCTTTTTTTGTTTATGTTTAGTTTTGCCATGGGAGACTTTTTTAAAGCCCTTACTAGAAAATGACTTATTTACATTATTTAAGACTAGAAATTGAGTTTATTTATCATATGTATGTTAAAGGGCCATTGTATTTAGATTTGTTTGACTTTCAAGTGAAACATGATTATATCATCTTAGGCTTCTATTGTATAAGTGGTAAATTCTATTATTTTAAGTACATATATGGTAGATATAGATCAAAAATTAGGGTAAAATCACTTTCCTATATATATTTAGCCTTTTAATATATCTATATTTAATTTTTTGACAAGTTTGTATAAAATAGAAATAATCTTACGATTTACGATACGATTCACGATTCGATTTGATTCAACTTTCTCTACGATTATGGTTTTCAAAACATTTGCACCAACTTCCACTCTTGTAACCAGTTATATGATAAGGCTCTTATATATGTCATCATATATTTCTTACTGTATAAAACATTTAATTCTTACTTGTTGACTATCAAAATTGCAATTAAGTCTATATGAATCACTTCAGCAACATAATAGGGAAGGAGTGTAGCAGGGCATCCTAACAAGTAGACTTTGATAGCAAAGCTAAAAATGTGCAAAAGCTAGAGGGGTCTAAATTAAAATGTCATCCAATTAACTATTACAAATCCTGCTTCTACACCAAAACTGTGAACAGATTTTACATATATAGAAACTTGGCATGCTTGTAAGTTTTGCTATTAAAATAACTGATTGCAATGTAATAGCATCAATTCAAGAAAAAAAAACAAAACCCAACAGAGAAAACATCAAAAAAGGGTAATTGAATCGTTTACCAATTCCACGGCTGGCACCAGTTATCCAAACAACCTAAAACCGGCCCAAATTTTAGAAAGAAATCTTAAAAACAAAATTAAAATGTAGATACACAATTAGGGTTAGAATATTAGAAACTGCACTGCAGACCTTATCTTCGATTTCTTCGCGTTTTACCTTCCTTTTTGATAATAATGTAAAATCACCTAGGAAAGTAGGAAAGCAACTCAGTCAATCAAATTAGGAAAAATTTTGTATCGGCTTTAGATTCTTAGAAATCAAAGAGTTGCCTATCAACAGTTGGGGAGCACTAAAAACCGGGTCCAAATTTTCGAAAAAATAAAAAAAAAAGAGGAATTGTTAGGGAATTAGAGTGATTACCATCTGCAGTGGCGAATTTCACGAGGATTGTGAGGATTGAAGCAAAGGTTAGAGTGATTAAGAGTAGAGTCAGCATTCTTTGTTTGCTACAAAAACACAGCAAGTCATCTACAGTGGTTCAGGCGTTTAGCCACAAATTCAAATTACATATCTTTCGTGAATCTCTCTGTTAGGGAGGGACGGAGGGTGCGATACCCACTCCCAATCGCCGGCAGTTGGACTCTCCAAAAATCCCTACGAGTTTATAACAAAAATCCCTTCAAATCAGCACCCCACAAGATTGCCCCTTACAACGTCCCACAGCACATTACTGAGATCATCTTCCTATGATCACATCATCATTTCTAGAATTATCATTGTGAGATGTTTCCAATACGAGAATGTGCTGTAGCACGTTGTGGGGGGCTGATTTGGTCTCACAACTCATACCCAAAAGTGCTCAACAATTGCAATCAGGTAAACGGGCTCCATGGTGATGTGGCCATGTAATCATTGTAAATCATGTTTGTTATGGACCAGGTCCAATCCAGTCCAATGAATATTTTGGACCATTTTGGACCGGTCCAATTCAATGTTTGGACTATTCATCTGTTCAAATTCGTTTTGATTTAGATTGATTTCAATCCAAACCTGATCCATTGACACCTATATTCTTATCTTATATCAATGGACCAGATAATCCAACCCAATCCAATATAAAGTTATTATGGACAGACCAGGTCCAATTCAATCTAATAAATATTTTGGACCGGATTGGTCCAATCCAATATGTCTTGTTGGTCAATCCAATCTATCCAAATTGATTTTGGACTGTATGGGCTCCAATCCAAAGCTGGTCCATTGACACCCTTATGTTCAATATCTGTTAAAAGAGGGTTGCCATTAGAAGGCAAGGTTGGTGATGGGCGTCAATAAAGATTTGGGAGGACCCTTGGATACCGGATTTAAGGCTCAATTTGGAAAGATTACAAATACAAATACGTACAGTGTAAATACATATAAAATAATACAAAGTACAAGGGTTTACACTCTACAAATTTGTATACTCTTTCCAAACTAAGCCTAAGAAATTTTGTAGTGGATGGGACTGTTGAGATTGCTTCTCATGGGGTGACTTATGTGAGGGATTTGACACCGTTGGTGTGGATGCAGATTCTAGTGTGCAAATTTTGTTCTTGTGGAGGCAGCAGATGCGGCGCCTTTGTTGGTTGATGCCTAATACATTGTCCATGCACAAGATATGGTGTTATTTTCTTATATTCCCCAAACCCTCAATGTCCTAGCTTATAAATTAGCTACACAGTCTCTAAAGTTTAATCTGCATGTAAGGGTGTCAATGGACCAGTTTTGGACTGGATTGGATTGGACCAACAAGATATATTGGATTGGACCAATCTGGTCCAAAATATTTATTAGATTGGATTGGACCTGGTCCGTCCTTAATAAATTTATATTGGATTGGGTTGGATTAAGCCAATATCTGATCCATTAATATAAGATAAGAATATTATATTGACAGGATTTGGGCTGAAATCAATCTAAATTAAAATGAATTTGAACAAATTGGATGGTCCAAGCATTGAATTGGACTGGCCCAAAATGGTCCAAAACATTCATTAGATTGAATTAGACCTGGTCCATTTGTAATGGACTCACACTGGACTGGATCGGATTGGACCAAATCCAATCCAATTGGCACCCTTATCTGCATGGAGGCTGGGTTGGGCGTTCTCCAAACTGTATTTCTTCTATCCTTATTAATTAATCATATGTTTATTGGAGTGAAACAAACAAAAATCATATTCACCTAGTCCTTTGGTATCCCAGATGTTGAACGATGATTCAGCACTATATTGAGGGCTAATATGACTATTCCTTGGAAATGGGAAGAGCTTAGTGATGGGAAGAGTTAGCAATATTGAAAGAAACTAGGAAAGGATTTTGGCCTGTCATGTTGAGATTCTAGAGAAACTCAACTTGTTCTCACCTCCAATCAGATGTCTAGAAGAACAGAGTCCATGGACTCCACCCAACAACAATAGTCCTAGAGGTGATGAAGAATTAGACCAGACGACTAGCAATCCGGAGGGACATAGACAGCTTCAAGTTCCACAAGTTATAATGGAGAACCCGTGGCAGATGTTCAGAATGGGTGGGGTGGAGACCTTTGCATCCCAAACAAAGGTCCATTGGGAATTGTTGTCTAACAAAAATGCACAACCAAAGCTTAGTCAATGGAGCCTCAAAACTAGAACCACCATCATTCTTTAATCTCTCTCTCTCTCTAAAACCATGTTTCAGAGCCAACTAGTTAATTGATTCCACCACAACAAGACCTCTAGCCACCATCCCCCTCACCTTTTCATAGATTCTATTCCCTCAGTATCTAGTCATAGCTTGAGCTATTACCTCATCCCATTGCTTAAAACCCCCACACATTGGCCCTGCAATCTTCCATTCCCTTCTCCTTCCACTTCCATTGATGAACTCCCTCCCTAGATTGGCTTCCTTTGGGGAAGGCATCCTTTGGCTCTGCTTTAGGGTTCAAACTTCAGTGCCATCAAGGGAACATGTGGTGATCAGGGTAACTCTGGCAACAACTATCATAGAGGGCATATATTCACTCAAGCTGAAATCCCATGTCAATGACATCAATTGGAAGTTCAATGCCAATCGAAGGTGATTTGCGGTTGGTTATAACTCTAGTCGCTACTCTTGTCACTCTACTGGATACACTAAACAAAGCTCAATAGCCATTAAGTTCTTGCAAAGGATGGCCATGCCATTATTCATCTGGAAGAAGGGGAAATGAAAAATTACAGGAGTAATGCCAATGTTAGCAGAGGAAGAAGAAAAAGAAGATGATGATGAGGGGGAGCCACTCATGATGGACACCACCAAACAAAGCTCTACACAGATACCTTAATGTAATGGAAACTTAAATTCCTCCTCCTCAGTACTCCTTAGGGTGATTTCTCTCAACTGTCTTGAGGATTGCAACTTCAAACAAGAAACCCCTTGACTCAATCGTGGCTACATCAATAAGTATCAACTTAGTGACAGGAGACAAAGGGTAAGAAGAACAATGCCAACCAGACTCTCTCGATCCCTGATAGTGATTTTGGGATGACCTATCTACTAAACAACTTGGAGGTAGTCGTGAAATTTAAAACCAGGAGATTCAAGGAGCCACCACAAGCTAGAGCTGAGGTGGGCTTGTGTGAAGAACTCAAGGTAGATCTCTACTTGACTCACCATGTTGATAGTAGAGCCATAGTGACCACAGAGCGCAATGAAGACAGATCATGCCTCTGGAAATCACGAGCTAGTACATTATTTACTGTGTTAGGCCCTATGTGTTTTTATGATAACAAGATCATTAAGAGTACGTACTAATGGTGTAATTAAATGTACATAAAATCTTTAGTAAGCTTCTTTGTGCCAAAAAAATGTATTAAAGTTAGAATGCTACCAAAGATAAAGAATATAAGCTTTGCTGAGTTGATTACTTATGCTTCAAAGGTATCTACATTATCACCACATCTCTCTAGCTAAGGAAACTCCAAGAAATTCAAACATATCAAGGCTACTTAAAACTAGGGGTGGAAAATGGGTGGGCTGGGTAAAGGTTGAATATCAACCCACCCATATTGATCCACCAACCCACCATGACCCATATCAGTCCTACTTAAAGGGTCATAACCCACCCATATTGACCCACATGACCTATCATATTGACCTTTAACCACCCTCACCCATACTAACCCACCTACCCTCACGTATAAATACAAAAATGGATAGAGATGGCCGTATATACAAAATAATAAATTTTGATAGAATAATCTCCCTCAAGACTGTCATGTGACAAAAATGAGTCAGGTTAACCCATATACCCGAAAAAGCAAAAATTGTAGATAAATACAATTTTTATAAAAGCGCTTTTGTGTAAAAGTACTTTTATAAAAGTTCTTTTATGCTTTCATAAAAGTGTTTTCGTGTAAAAGTGTTTTTATAAAAGTACTTTTATGCTTTCATAAAAGTGTTTTCGTAAAAAAACTTTAATAAAAGCGCTTTCATGTAAAAGTATTTTTGTAAAAGTGCTTTCATATAAGTGCTTTTATGCTTTCATAAAAGTGTTTTCATAAAAGCACTTTCATAAAGTGCTTTTGTAAAAGTACTTAAAAGTATTTTTGTAGAAGTACTTTTATAAAAGTACTTTCGTAAGTACTTATGTAAAAGTGCTTTCACAAAATTACTTTGTAAAATTACTTTCGTAAAAGTGTTTTTGTATAAAATTGCATGTGAACACGAATGGTATTAAATTCTATTTTATTTCGCTTTCATTAACAAAATGAAATTTGGCATAGTGGATTGGAAGTGTAATGAAATGTTTGCACGCTAGGACATCTACTATCTCACTAAGGAGAAGAAGATTATATCTAGTTAAGCTCAAATTGTATTTATATTTTAGGATCTTGATGTAATCAACTGCATGATGTTCTCTCTAGATGCTCAACAAGACTAAACTCACTATATTCAAACTTAGAAACCATTAACTAGAATGGGTTTGGTTCTTAGGCTTTCCAAAGCTTAAACAAGAGTTTACAATCAAAACATATATTTTGAAAGCTAATAAAAGAGACCCCAAACCTTTGAATAAGAATTTAATTTTTAAGGTTTTCTAAGTCTTGGGTTGTTTATTAGGCAATAATAGCTAGATTGAAAGACATAGTTGATTACCCCAAACAGCATAGTGGACTAGCTAGGACAATTGAGGCATAAAATGTCAAGACTGTAAAGCAAAGTTGATTATCCTAGAAAGTATTGTTAACTAATTGTGATAGCTGAAGCATGAAATATGCCCTATTTGAGAAGATTAGTTGCCTACCCAGAAAAGCATAGTCGACTAACCTAGATAAAGTGAGTTCAAGTGATTCAACTGATATGGAGGAACCAGTCAAATAAGAGAGAGAGAGAAAAGATTTCTCCCTTCATAAAGTAGTCAACTAGCAAAAATGACAATTGACTACTTCAATTAAATTTAACCATTTAAAGCCTCTAATGACTATTGTCATTTATGTAAAGCCTTTTAACTTTTGGGGGGAAATTTGATTCATTTCTAAAGATAGAAAAATCCCTTCACTAACTAGAAAATGGTCGTTTGCTCTCAAATCCTATATAATAGAAAGAGTTCTACTTGATTCAAAATAAGAAGCAAGAGA